CTGTGTGATATGACTGGCTTTGTGGAGCTGGCAGGCATTCTGCCCAGGACCTGTCTGTCTCCCACTGGTCAGGCAGGGAGGAGATAGGGCTGGAAACTGGGAACACAGGAGTCTCCACACTTGCTTTAATTACCTTTGTGACACAGTTACTATTTGGGAAAGGAGATCTGAGGAGGCTCATCTGCTGTCCAGAAAGGAGTAAATGTCAGGATGACCATGAAGTGACCTTCCTGTGGACACCTTGCTCAGAATCCGCACCTCTGGATGGGGGACTGGTGTGGCATGGCTCTGTGCTTCTTACAGACGAGCCTTGCCAAGCCAGTGAGCCCCAGTGATGATCTGATGTTGGGTTCTGCCTTGTCCTTGACATTGTCCTTCCCACTCCAATTTTCCAGCTATTTTCCCACTGGAACATTTATTTGCTAAGTCTCACCCTTGCAGCTCCTCATTTCTTACTTTTAAAAAACGGGATGGTATTTGAACAGTTTTGTCTTCTCTCCCTAAATATACCCATCTCTTATTTCAGTACATTTCCTTTGGGGCATTCCCAACACCTACCTATTTAGACACAGATGGAATAGCAGGCATTTCTTTATCGCCTTTACCCAAGGAATATCTAGGAATTTATCTAGGCATTCCTAATGGGAGGAGTGAAAACAATTTCCTTGACATGTCAATAGGGAAACTTCAAACCCCAAATCACAGGGGGTTTGGGTGAGATAGCTAGGTAGAAAGGGCTATCTCCTGACTAGGTAGAAAGGGCTATCTCCTGACTAGGTAGAAAGGGCTATCTCCTGATTAGGTAGAAAGGGCTATCTCCTGACTAGGTAGAAAGGGCTATCTCCTGACTAGGTAGAAAGGGCTATCTCCTGACTAGGTAGAAAGGGCTATCTCCTGACTAGGTAGAAAGGGCTATCTCCTGACTAGGTAGGAGGTGCCTTACAGGTGAACATATGGAAGCTGTAGTGTCCTGCAAGTCCTTGGACATCATGACTCCTCCATTTATACTTTTTCTGTAAAATGTCTCCAGATCTTCAATCCTTTATTTCTGTGTTCTAGACAGGATCATCTGATGCCCTTTCCAACCTCAAATCTAGCCTGGCCAATACTATCCTTGGATCTACTTTCCCAAATTCAAAATTCCTCAAGTATAAACACTGGACTAAGGAACCTCCTTTATCTAATGTAGGTTAGAATGATACAATATATCTTTATTTTTGTTACATGCATTTATTTTCTTGTAGCAAATACTTAATAATGATGTATACAATGAAGAAGATGGAAACATTTGAAGACCTGGATGAGAAATGAGAAGATACCATGGTGGGAGGGGCTTTAGTTTCCCATGGTGGGAGGGGCTTTAGTTTCCATGGTAGGGGGGGCTTTAGTTTCCCATGGTGGGAGGGAGCTTTAGTTTTCACACCCTTAATGCAAACAGGTGCTTCTGATACAAAGTCTGAAAAGATTCTGAAGGAATTCACTAGATAAGAACGAAGGTCACAAAATAATTATTTTATCTGATGTCCCTGTTTCAGTTTCTAGGAAAGGGTGTATTAGCAAGACTGTAAACAAATGAACCAGAGGGTTTCTTACTACAGGGCTTATCTGAAGGACCAAGCATCTATTCATATATGATTATGAATGCCATTAAATGCTTATGGATCTATTTGGTGTCACTAATATGCCTTTTTCCCCATTCCTACCATAATTGTTTTCTAATTGTTTGTTTTTTTTAATCAATATTCCCAGGTTGGTATTTTCATTTCTAAAGTATTTCAGTTTTGATTTAAAAAATACAGACTCTCTTTGATTTATAGAGGGCTTATAGTCTGATAAAATAAGTAAGTACTCATTGTAAATTGAATGAATTGTTAAACTCTAAGTACCCTTAATACGCCTCAGCTGGTTAGTTTTGTCTACTTGATCTGAGCTACATACAGTCTTGTGGAAAGAAGAAACCTCAACGGAGAAAATGCATCCATCAGACTGGCCTTTAGGGGGCACTTTCTTTATTGATTATTGCAGAGGAGGGCTCAACCCATTGTGGGTGGTGCAACCACGGGCAGGTGGTCTTGTGTTGTCTAAAAAAGTGAGCTATGCAAGCCATGGGGAGCAAGCCTGTAAGCAGGTTCTTCCGTGTTTCTGCTTCAGCTCCTGCCTCCAGGATCCTGCTTCAGCTCCTGTCCTGACTTCTCTCAGCATTGGACTATAATATGGAAGTTTAAGCCAAATAAACTCTCCCCTTTCCAAGTTGCTTTTGCTCATGGTGTTTCTCACCGCAACAGAAAATCAAATTATAACTTAGTGGATACCCAACTAATAACAAACAAGTGGGCAAACAAATTGGGAAAATAACAAAATGGAGCTTTTAGCTATAAAAAGTAATTAAGGTTATACACTTATCCAGGTAGAGAGAAATTAGTTTTCAGAGAGCAATACAACAGAAGGATGCATTCTATAGTTTGTCTTAGGAGACTTGCATACATTTGATGTCTAAGCCATCAACAAAGGTAAGGGAGACAACAGACCAGTGAGTCCATAGAAACAGATTTAACAATCGTGAGTCAGATATGATGGCACACATCTGTAGTTCCAGACTTGGAAGGCTGAGAGAAGACAGTTATGAGTTCAAGGCCAGGCTAGAGTACATAGCAAGTTCAAGGTCAGCTTGATCTAAAAGGGGAAACTGAATATATTATTAAATTAAATTTGGCAGAGTATGAATATTATTTAATGATATTTCATGGATTTAACTCTATTTAGAGGAACTTCAAACACAACACAGCTTCCAAATATACTCAGCACTTGCTAAAGAATGAATTTTTGTGCCTCTATGAAATACATGTGCTGAGATCTAATCCCCAATAAGACAGAGGCAGAGCCTTTGAGGGACAGTTATGAGAGCCCTAATGAGTGGCATTAGTCCCCTGTAGAAAGAGACTGGTGTCATCTTTATGCCATGTGGCATAAGACTGTAAGTGGGTATTCCACAACCAATGGTGGTCCTCAGCAGGCCTGACAACATTGGCACCCCAATCCCAAACTTTTAATTTATGGAGCCATGTAAAATAACTTTTTGTTGCTTACATGCTACCTTGTCTATGACATTTCATCATGGCATCCTGGACTTTGGCAGTACTTGAATTCAAATGGTGACTTCATGAGCAATGAGTTGGGGTGCTCCTCATTACTCGGGGTTTATTTGTCTTTTTAGTTAATGTGAGCAATGGCAACTCTTTCTGGGCATACATACTGCTTATGAAGTTTGACCCTCGTAGATCCGTACTACTGCTCCCACAGTCTGGGGACAGAGTATTTCTATCACCTCACAAAACTGTCCCAAGGAGCCTGGCAACTATTACTTTCTTCCCATTGTGTGAATGTATATGGGATAAAACAACAATCTTTTGGGTCTGGATTTTTTTTTACTCAAGAAAAGTGATATTGAGACCAGTGCAGGTTACTGTGCACGTTACTGGTTCACTCTTTTCCATTGCTGAGTTTACATAGACAAGATTTTGACTTTGTCCATCTGTTGGCCTGATAAATGGCATTTGGTCGTTTCTAGGCTGTGGGGATTGTGAATAAAGCCATGACAAGTCTTTGCATATGAATTTTGTGAGGACGTGTTTTCATAAGTCATAGGTAAATACCTAGGAGGGGTAGCAGCATCAGCCTCTCTAAGAAACTGCCACACTCTTTCTCAGAGTAGCTGCACCACTTTGCACCCCCCTGCGCCCAACCCCCCCCAATAACAAGGAACAGCCCAGCTCCACCATGTCACACCACTCCTGGCACCACCAGTGTATTTTTAGCCATTATGGCATGTGACAGATACCAATTCCTGATGGTTCCTGAATTTTGGAAAGCAAATAGCTTTTTGTAAACGAGAGAACTGTCAAAACTTTTGCCTAGATTCATTTACTTGTTTATTAGGATAACAAGGGATGCCTACATCTATATAAGAAAACTGTGAAGAAAAGCAACTTATTCAATCAAAATAGAGAATGAACAGGGAGAGGAATTCATTCATTAATACTTAATAAGGGGAATCTAAGATATTGGTGCTATTTATAAGGCAAGGTGCTATGTGATTACTTTATGATTATTTTTGGAACTATAGCCCAGAGTCTAATGTATTTCACAATCAAAGATTTTAAAAGGGGGTCAGAAAGACAGCTCAGCACCAGAGGACATGCTGCTTTTGCTGAGGGCCTGAGTTCAGTTCTCAGCTCCTACATTGGGAAGCTTACAACCAGGTACAAAGGACTTGATGGGTTCCTTTGAAGTCTAAGGAGACCTCCACTCAAGTGTGTATGTAGGAGTGCATGCACACATACAGTTAATTTTTTAAATAATCATATGTGCTAAACAAATACAAAATCTTAATTTTTTAAAGAAATAAGCTTGACTATATTGAACCACAAAAAGCAATGGAATGCAGAGCCATATTTTAAAACACCCTTTAAAAAGGGAGTTTCGGCACAGGAAGATAGTATCTTAGAATTTGAACATAAGAATTTCTTAAACATGAAACTTTCCCTTAAACATGCTTAAATGGAGCTAGGCATGGTGATATACACCTGTTATCTCAGCACTGGGAGGTTGAGGCAAGAACATCATAAGTTCAAGGCCAGCCTGAGTTACACAGTAAGATCATATCCCCAAAGAAATAAGCAAACAAGCAACCCAAAACAAAAGGAGACCTGCTTAATTTTTTAAAAGCACATCTTCATCTGTTTATAGCCACAGGCCACACTGCTCATCTGTCGGTGCACACACTCCCAGAGGCAACCGTTACACACTCTTGAAAGGCTCGTCACACTAGGGTGGGTCTTAATGTTGGGCAAAGAGAAGACTTTTGCTGAAAGCCAAGAGTAGAATGGGCTTTGAGTCAAGCCCTTCACAGACACCTCCCCCCTAGATACCTCCACATCACCGTCTAGACCACACAGCTCTAATGGTCTGGCTGTCACTGACACCTTGGAAGGATGTGTTACCTGTGACGACACTGGGGATTTTGGAGAGAAAACTCTTAACTGTTCTGATGGGCACACCCCCTGTCTTGTCATCTTGCATCTTTGTAATGATGTCCTCGATCTGAAAGAGATTGAAGAAAAGAGGTGTTAATATTCTTCTTGCACAGAAATAAAAATGCAAGCCTTTATTAAATGGTTCCGGTGTGTATTGCATGCGTGCTAACAACAGGAAGTAGAGGCAACCCTGACCCAGTCAGTCAGGAAACAGTATCAGTGTTTTAGGTGTGGGGAGGTCAGAGCATAGTTCTATAGGAACAACATGTTATTGTCTCGAGGGAAGAAGGGAGAAGTGCATCGAGGTTCACAATGGGATCTAAAACGAGCATGAGTATGTATGTGATGAGATTTCTCCTCACATTCAAAGTCAGTTTATATCATAGGAAACGGCCATATTTGATTCCTCCAAAATGGCAGTTTCCTAAGGTTCATCCTAAAATGCTATCATAAACTAGTCATTAGGAAGTTTAGGCAGGGCTTTGGGAGAAAGGCCATAGCGAGCAGCAGTTTTATTGGTGGAAACAACAGCGAAGAGATGAACTTAGAAGGACACAAGTTTGTAGCACAAATTCACAAGCCAAATGTAATTTCCTGGGAAGGAATGCTCAGAATAGGGCATAGGAATGTTTGGAACAAGGATGCGGATCTTTTTGTTTGGGGAGGTGAAACAGCTAGAGAAGGGGAGGGGCTAACATGTAGCGTTGACAAAGTGTGGTTCTGTAACCAACAGACATATCTCTGAACTGTTGGGATGAAGTCTGTGAGTAAGACCTTATTGAAAGCACATAATTTTAAAGATAGAAAGCTATTATTTAATTTCCTCTAGTTCGACATACTGTGATTGCATTTCAAGGGTAACTGCTTTGGTAGCAACAGATACGTTGTTAGATACAAAGTTAAGACATGCTATAAGATCATTGCCACCATTAGGAACAGGGACAGTGCTCACCAGGCATTCAACATACACGAAGTGCACTGCTCACAAGCCTTTGATTAGAGCCAGACATGAGACACCACCTAACCCAGGACCTAGGGCACTGTGTCTTCCGGTTGGCAGGAGCGGGAAATGACATTTGTAATCAACACCAATGGCTATGACAGACTTTAATAATTGTCACAGCCATGACCAGGTCCCACAGATACCCAATGGCAGAGTCAGGTTAGAATCTAGTTGTAGACTCCAGGACTCAGGTTTTTAACCCTGAGCTATTCTACTTTTCAACAGGATTCTCAGAAAACTAGCTAAGTGTGGAAGCCATCCTCCCCTGAAAATTTCTTGTTTGTTTTTTTTTTCCCTGCAAAAGTACTAAGATAGAGGGGCCAAGGATGTAGCTCTGAGGCAGAACATTTGTCTAGAATGTAAAACATCCTGCATTCTAACCCAAGCACTGCTAACTAACTAACTAACTAACTAACTAACTAAATAAATAAATAAATAAATAAATAAGAGACTGTGAAAGAATCCTAAGATGACAGTGAGTATTTCATAGGCAGGAAAGTCATTTCCTGCAGTGTTTAATTTTGACAGTCTAAGAAGGAATTTAATCCACAATTCCATTATCCACCTCAACTACCTCTTGACTTTCTGCTAAACTCAACCAAATAACTACCCTGAGTATCATTCATTAATGGCCAAGGAAGGCTATTGCTAGGGCGAAAAAAACAGTCATATTTAAAAAGCAATCTATGCGTTTGATCTAGTGTGCTGTTTGAAACCAGAAGCATCAGTTACATTGATGGTTGCTATGAGAAAGTCAGGGGAAAAAAACCTCTTTGAGGATTGGCAGGAAGCCAATAATTCAATTCAGTTAGACTTCTGAGTAGGCATTAGATCGTAATGATATTCAGTCTCTGCTACTGTGGGCCAGAAGGGAAGAACTGTCTCCACAGAGGAATTCTCCGTGGCTCCTTTCTCTTCTGCCCGCTTGCTTCGCCATGTGATGGGACCTCAGAAGGACGTGTTTACTAAAGAGGAAGACATATATATCTCATTATGTTGGTCCACAATATGTCAAGAAGGGTACTGCCCATCAGAGGTAACAGCCAGGTCAAAAGGCCAGTCTTGCTGGATGTAGTTGCATGTGCCTGTCCTCAGGCATTAGAGAAGTAGAGACATTGGCACCCTGAGTTGAAGACCAGCCATGCTACAGAGTGAGACAAAACATAAAATAACAGACAATGACAAAAAGAACTGCCTGTTCCTCACTGGACTGTAAAGGGGGTTGGTTGTATTTTGAGCAGTTTACAGCATAGCAGTATGGAGAAAGAACTCTGCAGTGTCCCATGCCTGACTCTGCTGTGGTGTTGATACACACTGTAGTCCCTGCCCTGGCCTCATGGTGGACAGAGAATCCTCCCACTGACCTCTCTGATCATGGGGCTAATCTGGCTGCTGTTCCTGAACACAGTGTGGACTCAGACATGTCATATACTTACGTCTGTGTGGCTGTGCTTACCAGCTTTGCTATTGCCTCAGATGGTTGATATTCTAAGGAAGATGTGGGGAATCTTCAGGGAAGAGGACCAAGCCCATATCATAATCAGTGCAACCCTGGCTTCCGTGCTCACTCAGAAGTAAGAAACCGAGGTTTCTATGCTACCAACTCGGGATGTTTACTTTAAAGCAAAATATAGTAAGGATCTGACAAAAGGCATTTTTCAAAAATTGTCAAAGTCACAACAGATATTTGACTGGCAATCAGGATGAATGTATCTTAGGTTTAGGATGCCTTTGGAACCAATCGCTTTTAAGAATGTGAAACTCAATATATAGTATTCACCATCTACTTTAAAACTCTTATAGGCAGTCCTAGCTTAGGTTGCTTACTCCATTGTTGTGTTAGACAAGTGTTTGGCAGCTCTGCTTGATGCTGGAGCATCACCTGCTGCAACAACACTCTCTCTGAAGTTCCTTGTCATGGCTTTTGGAGAATTACCAAGAATTTACAAGAAGACACCAGCCGCTTATAAGAACACTGACAAGAATTTTCAAACATCTACTTCATGATTATCTGACCTAGGTATCCTCAACAGATGTCCAATTTGTTCCTCAGTCTTCAAAGTTCTTTAGCAAAGATGTTAACAAGGAGACACATAAAGTCTCAGAGCTAGTAAGTGACAAATATGGGGTTGCTACCCAAGTCAGCTTGGATCCATTGCATCACCAGTATCTATAAAATAGAAAAATCACCATCCTTTCTGATCATCAGAAAACCCTAACTACCACCCTTCTTCATCTCCCTGGGGGTGGGGAGACTGACACGGACTTACTTAATTTTCCTGACTGCTTAGTTGCACCTCACTCTGACACCTTTTGTTCGCCACGAGTAACACAGTAAGTTTCCTGACATCCTTCAATATGAAGACCCGTGTCTTAGGGGATGTGTTTGGACCTATGTGCCCCTGTGCCAATCAAGGAGCAGGTGGTCCCTATCTGACATCCAGGTGAAGCAGAGAAACCAGCTTGGCTTGTTCTGCCTGGGTGAGCCCTAGTAATAAAGGTGCTCTTATCCAAGGAGCTCAGCATCCAGCACAGATAAACAGGTATGAGACTTTCCCAAACATCAGAAGGACAGCAGTCATTGCTCTAGCCAGTGGACTTCCTTTTACAGAAGTGATTTACAATTCACTGAATTAGTCCTGAGTGGGAGGGAGGAATAGTGACCGTCTCTTTGGAAATGGAAGTCACAGTGGAACTGTAAGACTGGATACGACCTCTCCATGTCTCCACCTCCCTGGACATCAGTACCCCGTCTCTACAGTTAGATGCGTATTTACTAAGTAGATAATCTGAAAATAGGAGAAGCTACTCTGACCCGCCAGTGATCAACTATGTCTGAGGGGTGACAGCATCACAGGTTGGAGTTAGGTTTGGGGAGGACTGAGGAGTCCTGATGTTTTTATAGACTACATCTGGTAGATGATATCAGAAACCAGACATAGAAGCAGCCCCAAGAGGCCCTTCTTGGTCATTCCAGGCCTGCTCATCTCTGCCTTTCTGGATGACAGTTCTGTCGGAAATGACAAAGGGCCCATATTAGTATTATTTGTGCAATTTAATGATCCAGTGAACTAATTTATTTATCTCATGCATTGTTTCCTCAGTAGAGGATTAAACAAAAATGTCAAGTGTGGGAAAATTATAGTGCAATTATTGAAAGGAAAAATGCCTACAACTCCAGGGAAGGAAGCTATAAATAAATAAATATATAAAAGTTATAAACATATAAATTAGCGGATGCCCTGTGCCTCTGGCATGCATCCAAATGTTTCACCTTGACTTTGCAATTGGCTGCTTATTTCTACTTTGGCCCTTTCATTTAATGAAAGACCTAGTCTTTCCTTGTGTCCATGAATGAATGAATTGATTAGAGGCAGGAACCTGAGTTAGACGATGACAGTCACAATTCACAACTTGAAATATAGCTGCTTCACTAACACGATCTGTCCCATCTGGCTCCCAGAAGATTAGGATATATATATATATATATATATATATATATATATATATATATGTGTGTGTGTGTGTGTGTGTGTGTGTGTATACATGTATAATATCTAAATAATACATGCATATTACATATAATATATCAATATATACATATATTAATATATGCACACACAACATGTATACATAATAACAACATATATACATATACACATATATGTATTATATATATTTAAATAATACAACTTCTGTTTCTCTAACTCTTAAATGTATTTAGGTTCATCTAGTCACCTTTAATGCCAGGCCCTGTGTTAGTTTCTATAGTTAAAAAGTCAGGTAGGTGGGCTGGAGAGACGGTTCAGTGGGTAAAGTCCTTGTTGAATAAGTCTAGCACCCAAGTTTGAACCCTATAATTTACATAAAGCTGGGAGAGCAGTGTGCATCTGTAATCCTAGTGCTCCTACGGTGAGGTTGAAGGCAAAGACAAAGGATTCCCAGGTAGAAGAATGAGCTAGTTACTTTCCTAATATACAGCAGTGAACAACTATGGAGACCCTGTCTCAAACAAGGTAGAAGACGAGAACTAATGCCCAAGGTTGTCCTCTCACCTCTACACG